CGTCCCCAAACAGCGTGGCCACGGGCAGCAGAGCCCACCAGCCTGACCGAGCATCCCTCTGCCGCGTGGGGCACGGCGCGGTTGGGGTGTACCCAACGCCTTCTTCCGCGCGTTGCTTTGGTGTCCCCTCTGCCTGGGAGCCTTGAGCTCTGTTGGGGTGAAAGCCCAGGGCATGGGGCTGCTCTGCTATTAAGGGGGGACCCGGCGACCGCCTCTGCTTGCTCTTGGCCCTGCATCGGTGTCCTGGTCCTGCTACGCTCAGGGCGTGCGGTGGCTCATTCTTCACCACTTGCGGCGTGATGGTCCAACAGCCCTGGCGGGTGACAAAACAGGAGTCCCGCACCCCGGGTTTCAGGGTAAAGTCCTGCTGTGTTGGCAAATATCCTGTTGCGTCAGCACTGCGAGCTTCGAGGCTGGTTCCTGCCTGGATCCCGAGGGGAAGGTCCCAGGATGGTTTGTGGGTGCCCCCAGCACCCAGATTTGTGTGCTTGGCCCCTGCACAGGGAGACGCCTCTGCTGCAGCAGAGAGAAGGGCTGACGGCCAGGCAGGATGCGAAGCTCCTGAAAGGCTGATCGGCTGCACGTGGGACCCGAACCTGCCCTCGTCCCAAAAGCTGGGCATCCCCTTACGGGCCGGCCCTGAGGATGGCTCAGTTCTTGGAGGTGATGGGGATGAACCAGCTCCACTCTCTCTCCTGGGTGTGGGGGTCCTACCTGCTCCAGAGACCCTGAAGAGCTGTGGGATTGGGTGCATGACCCATGCTGGGGTGCAGGATTGAGTGTCCACCGCAGGATCTGACTCCAGAGGGCACCTGCCACCCCGTGCGGGCTCAGGCAGAGCTGGATAGACTCTGGTCCCCGCAGCAGACTTTACCTTGTCAGATGGTATAGAAAATGAGCGCTTCAGATGTCAAAATTGACTCCAAAGGAAGCTGAAGCAACCTGGCCAGCAGCAGTGAAGCAAACTCGTTGCAGTCTTGTGTTAACCAGGGGGGCTTGCTTCAGCGCTGCTGGTTTGGGGAAGCTTGCGGCAGGTTCCTTCACCGAGCAGGGTGATTTCAGGGCTTTGACTCACCCTTGGGAAATCACATCTGTTCCTTTTCCCCCCGCAAAAGGCATTTGCAAATCAGTAGCCAGGCTCTAAGCGTGCACGGGGGGAGGTTGCCCAGCAGCGTCGTAGGCATTTCCACCCACCCACTCTGGAAAGCTCCTCGGTGCAACCTCGGGACCCTCCGAGTGAGGAGCTGGGGTTGTTCTCAGTTCTTGTCCCTACAAAACCCAGCAGCTGGTCCTTGCTGCGGGCTGTAGCACTAAAACTGAATGCATCTGCTCCCCAGCTCCCTTCCAGCCCCGTGCCAGGGCCCCGCAGAGCACAAGTGCCTTAAAAAGGGTGCTCCTCCAGGAAAGGGTGCTCGTTCATCCCCTTCCTTCCTCCTGGCTCTCGCCTACCACCACAGCTCAGTCCTAGGAGACGTGCAGAGTGTTTTCAGGCCAAAAAGGGCTTTTTGTCTAGTTGGAAATGGCAAAGACCTGTCAAATCATACTGCTTTCCCTGACCTCTGGAGCACATTATAATGTAAAGTGTTGTGAGCACCCGCTGCGATGACCCTGCTCTCCCCAGGCACCCGCCTCGCCCCCGTGGACCTGCAGCCTGTCTCCAATGCGGATTTGTCCTGTTTAAAGCCATGCTGGGAGAGAGCAAGGTGCAGGACTTGCCTCGAGGAAGACCCACGCAGACACAGAGAATAGCTTTGGCAGCCTCAGGGCAAAACTTTATTTGGCAGCAAAACCATCAAACTTGAAGGAAGGGAAGGAGGGAGGTGGGCAGAGAGGGGTGGAGGGGAGAAAACCGGGGGCTGCAAGCACTGCTTGGGTGCTTTCTGCCGGGGACCACGGCCCATCTCAGTGGTGGTGTTGGTGCTGGTGCTTGTGCTGGTGTTGCTGCTGCTGGTCCTCAACGTCGTGGAGGTGTTCGTGGGTGGCAATGGTCACACGGGTGATGAGCAGCATCACCTCGCAGAAGCTGATCTGCGCGTCCTTGTTGATATCGAGGTCCTTCATGATTTCATCAATGGTGGCCTTGTTTTTCACGTGCTGCAAAGGGACGTGGTGAGGGCAAAGTCCTGTCACTCGCAGCTCAAGCCTCCCCCGGGGCCTTGCTGGGACCCTCACGGGTACCAGGTCCCCAGTAGCCTGGTGCTGTGTGTGGCTCCATCACCCGTTGCTTTGGGTGTAGCGATGATTCACCCGTGGTGATGAAGCAACCAGAGCAACAGGCTAGCATCACTGCGAGGACGCCGTGCAACGCGGAGACTGGTGCAGGCAGCAGCGTTATGTCAGCCACGAACCCCTCCTTTAGCGCGCCCGATTAAAAACACTTGACCTTCTGCTTTAGCAAAATGAGTTACCAAAAAAATGGGCTTTTTGGGTGATATTTCTCACATCATTGCTCCTAGATGGCAGAGGAGCTCTTGGGCAATATGATCCTGATTTTTTTTTTTGCAGATAAGGTGATGGGGTTAAATATCTGGCTGCAGGTTCATCCAGACCTGGGCGGGTATCCTTCCTGTTTATGGAGCGCGTTTGGAAAGTGGCGGTTGGACAGGGAGGGCCTGGGCAGGAGGTGTGGGGGCAGGAGAGCAGAGTGGGAAGAGAGGGAATCCAGTCCCTGGGGGTATTCAGGCAATGGGGTCCAGCCCGGCTGCCCCCCCCATGTGGGTCACGAGAAACTCCACTCACCTTCAGGTAGTTCGCAAGCTGCTTCTCAATCAGGAGCTTCAGCTCCTTCTTGGTCAGGGTGTCTAGGTCCCCCTCCCGTCTCGAGTACTGGTGGAAGACATCAATGATGATATCCATGGCCTTCTCCAGCTCGGAGAGATGTTCCTGGGTCTGGAAGAGAAACAATTACACTGAATAATGTCTGGAGCCACAACAGATGGTGGCTGGACTGTGCTGTGGGGAGCCTCTTCCAGGAGAAGACATCTCTCCTTGTGGGCTGTGCTCAGATGAGCCCAGGTGGAGATGGTTTTCCTCTGCTAGTGACTGATGGCAGCTCACGCTGCGAGGAGAGGCTCCCTGAGGGTCCTTGCACCTCCGATGGTCCAACCAGCATCTGGAAAAGAGTACAGAGACCTTAAATTCCCGAGCCACCATTGGACTTGCCTTGCTCATCTTGATGGCGTAGCGAGATCCCCTCGGGCTGGAGCGGGGCCAGTCCCAAGCGCAGCATCTTTTATAGCCCGGCCGTCCGCCTGCGCCACTCCGCCAGTTGTGAAATGTCTCCGTTTCATCCGATTCCAGTCCATCTTCATGACATGTGCATTGCTTAAGGCTCCGGGGCAGTTCCTTAAAAGGGGTCTCTGTGGCTTTTCCCGCAAGGTTGGTGTCACGTACTCTGGCTGGGTGGCAGGGAGGTGGCCAGGGCATGGTCCTGTCCCCTTCACCCCCTCCACTTGGCTATTGGGGCTGCAATTCTCCATCAACTCTCGACAGAAGTCCATTCCTGTTGGCTTCTTCAATTCCACCCGCTCCACACCCTCCATAGGGGCGTCTCTTCATGCCACGAGCCAAAGGGGACCCACCCCATCATTCACTTCAAGGAACCAGCGCTGCTTGGCCCCGTGGCGTCCCCATCCTTGCCGACCTGGTGCACACAAGCACCGTGTGGCCCTGTACGCCCAAAAGCATCCCACTGCCCCGCCGCTTCACCCAGCCCAGCGTGGACGGCGTGGTCAGGGTTACCTGCGTGACACGGGGACAGGGACAGAGCTGGTGCTGAGGGCAGTGCCCCAGCGCCGGGGGCCAACCCCTGCCCGCAGCAAACGGCTCTTTATGAAAGACGAACAATACAGGGTGGGTTCCCAACCTGATGGTGCTCCAGGAACTTCATTTCATCTCCTCGGGTTAGCGACAGCCTGTGCCAAGGGTGGTTTCTCCCCACCCAAGGTGTGCTCTGAGCCGCGGAGACCAGGTGTGGCTGAAAGGTGTATTTTTACTGTTTAGGACTGTGTCCTCACTTTGTGTCTTTTTTTTGTGGTTTCTGAGTGTTGCAGAGACCCAGCGCAAGCGCTTTGGCTCAGAGCAGCTAAGATCGGGAGCAAAACGAGATTTTCCAGTGCCGCTTCATTAAAATGCTCTGCCTGCTGATTCAGCTGACTTGTTTGGGGGGTGGTTTAACCTGCCGAGCACGATGCTCGTCTCAGACACGAAGTGGAGGCCAAAACGGTGCCGCGGACAGGCCTGGGGCGAGCTCCGGGTGAGCTGACGTGGGGCAGGAGCGTGCAGGGAGCTGCTCGGGGACGCAGCCCTGGTCCGCACGCGGTGGCCCCTCGGACCCCAGCCCTCACCGCCGGGGGTGCGCGGCGTTTCGCAACAGGAGCGTTTTGGTGCACGGAACTGCTGGAGAAGGGCCGGGGCGTTTCACAACAGGGTGTCGGGGACCGTCGGCTCAGTTGCAGCGTTCTGTAGCAATCTCGGGAAGCCGTACCTCTGGTCATCTTACCATCCCCGAGGCAGGGAGGAGCAAGGAGGGAGTACAGGGCATGGGACGGGCCAGGGATTTCCAAAGAGGGATGGTGGCTAGACCCTCAGGCGTGCCTACCGGGCAGCGGGCATG